AACCGAACTGCAACGGACAACCTGACTGTTTCCATGTCTGACATGTATTGCATGCGAAAGGGCAACCAACAATGTATTGCCTTTCTCCTGTTAATGCTTTTTTTTATCACTTTTTCATTTTCGTGCACATCCCTCCGATATTCACCATTATGTTTGGTCTTAATTAAGTCGCACTTTCACTACTGTTTCAACGCCATATTCTAACCGAATTACTAGCGACTATTAAAAATGAGAGGAGGGGGGATTGACTTACATCGTTGAAGAAAGTTAACCATAGGATTGAATAGTCCTCAGATATCAGTACAAAAGTGTAGTTCGGACTAACGTCATCGATATGTGCGAATTCCTGTGGGAAAAAGAAAAGTCCATGACAGTTTTCTTGGCAAACGTTCAATGTCGAGGTTGGATTAAATGAACATCTAAAACGACCAAACACTGCCTGTTTAGAGGTGCGCTGGCTGACATTAAAGTGAGGTCTATTGTATGCGGTGGACTTCAGTTGGGTGAACAATGAGTAGTTGCGTCAGCCATTCGACTGTTCTGTATTCTAAAGAAAGGACCGAGTTTGTATCTGTTGCCACGATTTTATCCCGCTTTCTGGAGCCAATGAGTGTTCCAAGTCAGAATTCAGCGAAACAAGACCGAGAAGAGAGCCTTGTCGGAATTTCAGTCGAGTGATTTGCGCGTGTCTGTAGGCAATATGCCAACGTGCAGGGATACCAAAAATGGTACCGACACATCGTCTAGTTGGACTAAAGACTGGGAACGGTCAACGTAGACGTGGATTGCACGACGGTAAACTCTTGAACAGGGTGACGGGAGCAGCAACTTTGGCCACCTGATTTTTGCTGATTAGTCCAAACTAATGTTGGTCAGTCTGATCACGCATCACTGTTGCCTGCTGACAATAGTCAAGATGGCGAGGTAAGATATAACACCAGAAGAAGAAATTTCCTTAGTCACTAGGCGGTTATAGTGACATAAAGTACAGGAAATTCTGGGACACAAAAAAATTGTTGATATTCGCCGACTTCCTAGCTTAGCTGGCAGGTCGTCTAAATCAAGTAACGTTCTACGACTAATTGACTTAGTTCTAAATTTCAGGCGCTCTCTTGGAACTGAGATATAATTAATTTGGGACAATAAATTGGTCCAAAATGGCTACTCTGGTGCGTCTGTTTTTGTCAGATGCAGTTCTCAAACCGAGATATCTCGTTGGTGTCAACAGGCAATATAAATAGTAAAAATCGTGATAAAGGTTGCAACCTTGAGTTTGATTTTATTTGTCTAAACACCGTTAGATGTCCGTTTGTTTTCGCTCCAAAAGGCCTCTTCAAAAGGGACAGAATGCATAAGAAATTGAGCGTATCTGTTGCCTCGTCCACGTCTCCGGAATTCTGCTCCAGTCCAGGTTTTCATTCTCTTCAAATTACATTCACATGGTCTACGGCTTGACTTGTTTTCCCTAGCCGAAATAACATTTGATGGACATCTCAGGTCTTTTTGGTGAAGATATCGTGACTTTACTCCTACTTATGCTCAATTAGCCTCCAACACGAGTGGCATTTTATTGTTAAGCGCTAATGGGGGTCGGCAATTTGTGTATCACTGGGGATGCAGGTGATTTGAACATGACAGCTGTTACACATGTCCTCATAAACAATCCGTTTGATTGGGACCCAGCTCTGATGCCCAGTGAGATAGAAGAAAAAGTATGCGCCGTTCCAGAACTACTTTTTCTCATTATAATTCCTCTAGTCAGCTTCTAAGCCGCCGGGATGTGCGAGACGTCGCAAATCTGAAAGTTCTCGACCGACGAGATAATTCATTCCAAAACCTGAATGGAGAGTAGGTTTCAATGGCCGGCCCAGTGGCCCAGTAATTACGTACGCTTTTCAGGGGACATAACGGTGATATTCAACCAATTGACAAGTTGTTTCTGGGGTTTGGGCCTGCGGTGTACGTGCTTCTTCTCTTTTTCACACAGGTTCTCTGAGATATCTCATTCTTCGATATTTCGGGCCCCTGGATGCTCTTTCAGCCAACCGGAATTAAAAATTAAATTCGAAATGGCAATATTACCATCGTCAGAAATCAACCACACGGTTTTCGAATGACGAAGACTTCAACCACTGCCAGTTTCTAAACACGAGCCCAAGAAGTCCGATCTTCTTGCGAACGAAATGTATAGTATAAGGATGTGCCGACAGCTTTTCCGACTTTGGCTTAGTCAAGCTAGATTCCCAGCACTTTGCCGGTTATCTACCGGCACCACGGCGCAGCGCTAACCACCTTTTATCTTTAACCCTATTTGAAGGATTTTGTCCCCGGTACGAAGCTGAAGTAGGCAGGCAGGGCAGGATTTAATGGTACCAAAAATTTCGCAACGGCTCGTCACCTTCGTCCTGTCGCTTCATAACATAGATAACGAGTGGGAAGAATGCAACAGATTTGAATTAGTGCAGAAAATCAATGCAGAAACAACAAGGTCATGGTTTTGGGTAAAGCCGGCTAATCGATAGAGTTAGTAACTCAAACACCGTAGGGGAAAAAAAGTGAAAAAGGGGGGGGAGCGTTAACGATCAAAAAAGTTGAGAGGGGAAGGGGAAATCATGCAGCTAGAGGCTACCATGGCAATGTTAGGTTAACCACGTGTTTAAACTGTTTACATAGATCTGGTTTCACCCGTCGTATATAGGCCACCTCCAGGTAGCACAATGTCCAAGTTGTTCGTGCCCGAACAAGTACTCGGGAGGAGGTTTTGAGGTCGACGGAGTGACCACTATGAAGCAGGTGTTTCGTAATGGAGGAACGCGGGATTTTGTTTTCTTGTTTTAGGAGCCAGGACGCAGCTGACGAGCCGTCGCGAAATTTTTTGCTACCATTAAATCCTGCCCTGCTTGCCTACTTCAGTTTAACCCTATTGACTATCGAAAGACTGTCATTTCTGGCAGTTTGCGGCCTCGATCACCCCAGTGGCTAATCCTCTGCGTTATCCTACCTTTCACCGTCATGCTTACTCTTGCCTATTGGTTTATTCATTAAACCTACCCCCATCACCTGTAGGCCCCATAAATATCGAGAAAAACTGATGCTCAGGTAACTTAAACCGGAGAACGCCTTCCCGACGCCTCTACACGTCATAGCAGTTCTCGCTTACGGGATCAACTGGGGACCGTCTCCGGGCCAACCAGTTCTCACAAAAGGACCTCCCCGTGTTCCCTATCCTGTCTGAACTCAAACCCGTCGTCCTAAATAATCGCAATCTTTCCCTTAGACAACTGTCCTGTGTTCTTATATGGGGTCGAATTAGAACGTTTTGACACTTAGCACGGTTGGGCTGTTTGCACTAGAACAACTAGCACAAAGGCTGAGTCACACTTAAAAACTTAGGCATTATTCGATTAAGGGGCCTCGATAGGAATGCTAATGAGGGGCGATGTCTGACACAAAAGAGGAGAATCCCTGGTTAAGTAAAGTGGGAAGCTCGCTTTTTCAAGCTTGACCCATGCCCGCTACGAGCTTGGAAGCAAGTTCCTAGGGCTCTTTTTGGACTCGTTATATCGAACTCGGATTTTCGAACGCATCTGACCGCAAATAGAGCTCACCCACCTCGTGAAACGAGCTCGTTTTGCTACCAGGCTAATTGCACCCTTGTATCAAAGCACTCGCTTAAATTTCTGTTGTCTGAAATTTCCCAGGCGTCTGAACGCCTGAATGCGTAACACCCCCGTCTGACCGACACGGGTGAACTATGTAACTTAGTTTAAACACGCCTACTGATAGGAAGCAAATACGTCAACAATGTTGGTTCATAATCCCAGGCTACGAACTGCGATCTCACCCTTGGATTGATAGTGTCTGTCTGCGATCGCCAACCTATTAGAGAATATTCTACCCTGGACTCTGATGCATAGAGACATGGGAAATGTAGAAGTGTACGACCCAACAATCCCGCGGGGCGAAAAAGTTGTACGCGTAGCTGGGCCGACTCCCCAAGCCCTGACTCACAAGGCGAGCGCCTAAACCCCTCAGCCACCCCCGTCAATGATCGCGCCCAGAGGATATTAGGCGTATTAACTCCATACCCAGCGGATACGTCGGATTTAGCCAGGAACATAGTGCATCAGGAACTCTATGCAGACCAGTGCCAATCTAACAAACGCCAGAAGCGGCTCACAGTGGGACCGAGGTGTCCCGCAGCACAAAATATCCTGGTGAATTCGCTTCGATTGCACAGGATTTTCTACCCGATACTGACGCCTCGGAGTGTTTTGCGCAATGCAAATATTGTAGGGATCTCGCGTTAAGTATTGCATCGCTGGAGACGAATATGAACCTCCTCATAGACCTCATTGCATTGTTGCTAAAGTTTGATAAAATCAAGCCAACTGATGTACTCAGTGGCAACCAACAGATCGTTTCGAAGCCGCAAGAGTAAACTGATAACCACAAGCTAACAGAAGGCTCCAGCACAGCCAAAAAGAGGAAAGGGGACTCTCTACGTGTTATAAGTTGCCGGTTCAGGAGATGGTCGGTTGCAAGAATATAAAAAGTGCTAGAAGAAGATGGAAAAAACATCTTGAACAAACAGTCACACCCTCGCCAATTGCGGTAGTAAAGGGAACTCCGAAATTGCATACTAAGTTGAGAAATAAGAATGGCAGTGCACACTCATAATTGATAATCACTTAGCTGAAGAACAGCGATCAGCGCATTGACAAATTCCTAGCTGTCCGACCTCCTCCACAGATGGAGACGGAAGGATCCGGAATCGAAAGACTACCACATGGCCGGAAACCTCGGAAGAAATTGCGGAGCAAATAACACGGGAAGATCTTAGATTGCTTCAGAAGGGCAGGGAACAGACAAGCACTGTCTCCCACAAAGGGACCGGGAAGAAGCAGGCGACTGGTAATAATATTCAGGTCATACACAAGCAACTGAGATCACATTAAAAGAGGAGAATAAGTCGAAATGTACCGATGACTGAAAAGCAAATGACAGAAATTGGATGGCTTCATCGTGCTCGAGGAAAACAACTTCCTGAGGTGGTTAAGCGGAGCGTCTCTGAGCAGTCGACAGAAACCACCAGCGATCGAGTAGACACAGTCGCAGCGGATGCGGATGTCTTCTCCATTGATATGAAAGATAGGGACAGTATTGTTGCGGACATCGCACCGTTATTTCAAGAAAGGGTCCTCAAAGTGGATGACAACCAGAACATTGTCATCAAAGGTTTGTCAGGAACTCCCAGGTCACCATCATCACATAACAAAGATAGGCCGGCCGGGAGAACAGCGCCTGTTAATAGCAGAGCTCCAGTAGACATACGCAGACATACCTAAGTAACGTGCTTTAACAGATCTCGACTTATTCCAAGGTCTTCTGAACTCTATGCTTCAAACCAACAAAGAAGTTTCACTATTGAAAGCCTTCAGGCTCGGAAAGATCAATGCTGGATCCTCCATCTCTACGCATTCTAGACCCCTCAACATTGCTCTGGGTTGCAAAGAGCGGGTTAAGCTCACCCTCTCAAGACGTTTTCAATTAAAATATTCCCACCAAGGAGTTTTTCGCAGCTGGATTACGCACGGCCGGAGCAGCCAAAATGCCAGCAGTTAGTCGACGAGCTCAGGCTTCGATAGAGGAGCGGAGAACAAGACGTGTTTATATACAACAGCCTCATAATCGAACGACCGTCTCGGTTTATATGGACTAATCCTGTGCGTATGTCGCCACAGCTGGAGCAGATAACAAAGGTGGCAGCAGAGCCGACTAAGATGTTTATGTACCAATGCGCAAAGTCTTTTATCTAAATTAGATGAGCTTAAGATTTACGTAGGTCAAGCCTTGCCAAATGTCATATTCATAACTGCAACGCAGCTGTCCGCGAACGTTGATGATCGCGAAAGATGACCAACAGATAATACCTATGCCACTGATGCGGAACTCGCCATAACTGATACGATGGAGCAAGGCTGCATACACATCCCCAACCTAAACTCTAACCCGAACCAATTCCAGGCTTTGGTAGATGACGGCACCGATAACACATGGAAGACACCGACAAATGTTAACTACGCCACTACCCCCTCCCCAGTCTCGCGTTCTCTGCAGTGCTAAGAGACGCTTATCACAAAAAGCGACTAGAAATCAACACCAACCATTGAACCGATGTCAAATTTTTTAGTGAAGCCTGGAACTCTGCCTCCGGCTATGCCAATTTCGTATAGAACAGAGTAAACGGTTGCCCTTCAACAACTGGTACCCATCGAAGAATATACGACACCCTCGATATCGGTACCGGCCGTCGCCCACCACCATGCATCAATTCTCCCATCTTAGAAGCTCCATCTCAAGAGGCATCAAAATCAACGACGGAATTGCAAGCCGGACACAAGTCGGGGTCACAAGCTCTCGAGGTCCTTAAGGTCTACCGTTCACCGAGGAACGACCCGCAGTCAGACAGTAGTCTGATAGAGGGATTAGAAACGATTTCGATCCGATTTGATGTCATGGTTATGGGCGAATTTAACGCTCCGAATATCTACTGGAATGTGAATTCTGCCTAGCTTTAGAATTCAACTTCAATCACAGCCTCCTACAAGCAGTGTAAAAATTCCATCTCACACAACACGTGTCATCTCCAACCAGACTATATGAAGAGCAATTAGCCAACCGCTTGGACCTTTGTATTGACAAAAGCACCTGACAGCGTAGGTGTCGTAAACTGTCTACAACTCCTCAGAAAAAGCCACCATATAGTCCTACAGTGGGGGTATTCTCCTTCCTCTGTACCTGACCAAAACATGATGGTCAGATGCAACATATGGCGTGGAGATTTCAACCAGATTCAAATCGGCATGCGTCGTATATACTGGAAAGCAACATTCACGGAGTGTGTTCTCGAGGACTGGTCGGAATTTATGGCCGTATCGAATGGACTTATCACCAGATACTGCCCTAGATCAAAAAAGATCACCAACAGGCACCGATAGAGAAGCAAGCCGCAAGCAAAAGCTGTGGAAAGCTTATCACAGAGAGACGACCATCGAATCTATGAATAGAGTAAGGTGCCTTGTTTATAAAGCCCGTCAAGACTTCGACAGTGACCAGCTTAACAGTGCAGGAGAAAACCCAAAGCTTTTCTTTAACTACTTAAGACAGTGCACTCGTAATAGGGATCCCATCCCTATGTTAAAAGCGGATGTTGGCGTTGAGCTTTGCATGGACGACGAAAAGGCCGAGCATCTATCTTAGTTCTTTTAATCGGTTTCTACGAGAGAAGTTGATTTCCCCGCTGATAAATATAGTGTGGATGAGGTCCCGAAAATTGGTTCCCACAAAAGCTATTGTTCAACAAGAACTGCTGAAGCTGGAAGAAGCGACGTCTCCAGGTCCTGATGAAATACCAGCAAGGTTTCTGAAAGAGTTAGCCATAGAATTGGCAGAACCTCTTTGTCTTCTCTTCAAAGCCTTGCTTTATGCAAGCAGACTGCCACCTGAGTGGTAGACTGCGTGGAGTTCACCGAAAACTTCTCAATTAATCAATCTCAAATTGCCCGTCTTCGTGGCCACCAATCGGCGGAGTTAACGACTGCGAGCGGGGTTCCTCAGGACTCCGTTCTTGGCTCTATCCTCTTCCTCATATATACTGATGATCGCATCTGTGAATTGAACTGCGATATTGCCATTTCTGCTGACGACATAACGCTTTGGGACGTCATCCGCAACGAGGACGATGAAGCAAATTTCCAGGCAAACTTGAACCGAATCGAGCAATGGCCAAACAACCGTCTCCTCCCGTTCAATGTTACCACATGCAGCATTCTGCGAATCGGTAAAACGCGCTCTGCTCACCAGAAGACGTATTATCTAAATCACACACTGCTACCGGGGGTAGAGATCCATAAGGGTCTAGGTGTGTGGGTAACAACCTCACAAAAGCCATCATCCCACTGCTTGAAAGTAGCGAAATCCGCAATGCCCAGCGGATATTTGCGAGGTTCGACGACGTGTGCCTTGCTAGGGTCTTCGGGATGTTCGTACAACCACAGTTGAAATTCTTCCCTCAGGCCTGGAGATCGGGATCTGTCAAAGACCACACCACCCTCAAAAAGTCCAACGACGGGCAACCAAGCTCGTCGGAGGTCAAAAATACCTGCCTTATGAAACTCGACTGTTCAACCTTGACCTCTTTCCCCTGGACTACAGACAGCTACGAGGCGAT